AAACTGCCTGGTCATTATTAAAATTGGCAGTTTTTTGCTGCCAAGGGTAACACAAACAGTAAATAAGGTAGGGAGAAATCAGTATTTCACACTTTTTGCTTTCACACAAGTTATCACTGTCTAATATTTTGATTACTCTGATGATCCGAAGCATTTGTGTGTGTGTGTGTGTGTGTGTGTGTGTGTGTGTGTGTGTAGAAAAAGCTCAAGACCAAACAAACCCAAAAGGAGAACAAATATCTTTCACAGCCCTGCTTATATAATAATGAATAAACCGAGCTTGCTGCTGCCATTTTGTTGTTATATTTAAACAGGCATGTGGGGGGAAAAATGAGCAATTTCTCAGTGGAATAATTGGAAATTTAGCAAGGCCACTGGTGGCTAACCTGTCATCAATCACTTCAAGGCCTGCTTGGAGGTTAAGAGAATCAAGAAAACAGCCAGTGGTTGTTGACAGATTACCCTCGCCTTAGCCGACAATCCCAGCAGCAAACAGCTGAACGAATGTGAGAGGCTGGTGGCGAGTCTGGATCCGACATCAAAGAGAGCATCTGCCATGTCGCAAACCTTTAGAGGAGGTAAGTCTCCGCTGTGCCAGGAGTTCGTTTACATATTTATTAGAGAAAGAGAAAAAGACAGAAAAAGAAAGGAACAGAGAAAGAAGGGACTTTTATGGAAATCTTAGTTTGTTTAAAGTGAATGAAACTCATTTGCTGCTAATTTACCATGGATTTCATACCTTTAAAACGAGGTAATCAAAACCTTTAAAAAAAAAAAAAAAAAAAAAACGGATCTGTGATTGCTGGGGAAGCTGCGCTGCGTTAATAGACTTCCCTGAAGTAATTCAGCAGGCATTATGCACAGGGCCACACTGATATCCTGCAAATAGTCAATTGCTGAAGCATTAAGTAATATCTACCTGAGGCAGGCAAGCGTACGGTGTTTAAAAGCATTCTCTCCAAATGAGTTTGGATGAAAAGCCAACCAGCAATCTTCAAAGCAGAACATCCAGAGACGAGCAGCACTAGCTTAGCTCTTTCACATTTATGCAGACAATGCATAAATGAGACACTTCTTGATTCAGTTCAGCCCCTTTCTTCCTCAATACACTATAGAGACTCAACCTTTAGTAAGTTTCAGTTGTCTTCCACCAGCTATCAGCATCTACAACAGTGATTTGGGGGGAAAAAAACATGCAGTATAAGTTGCAGCAAAATTTTATTTCCCTGTGGGATTAATGAAGTACATTTGAATTTTGAATCTGTGGACAAATGGACGGGTTCCACAACAGAACAATGTCTTATTGTTTATTTTTCTCTACATGCCTCGAAAAAGTAGTCTGGTTGAAAGACAGAAGCCTTCTTCTCAGAAAACAGTTCGGCCTGGACATAAATCATTTTTAGAGTTTTTGATGGAATCAAAGTTAAACATTTTGGCTGTAATTCCAAATTGTCTGTTTGGCACAAAAATACATCACAGAAAATCAGTGGGGTCGCGTAAAGAAGCTTTTGGGAAAATAAAAATCTTGACTCAAAATATAGTTCAACACATTTTAGTTCAAAATTTCACCCACTTATGTAGGAAGAGTTTTTTCAAAATCTTTTTCTCATTTGAATCTTGAAAAAAAAAAAGACATTCAACAGGGGTGTGTACAGTTTAGAAATCCACTAAAACTGAGATTAGAATAGGAAAAAAAACAAAGATTGACACCTGATGACGTAATTGCTTGCCAATTAGGATTGGCTTTTCACATTTCAGAAATTAAGATCATGTCTGTCAATGCAAAAACTTTACATGTTAGTGTTCTGATCCCACCTTAAAACTTTTGGCTTTAATAATAAAAGATTAGAGCTTGTTGCAAAAAGCAGCACTGCAGTTTACAGTTTTTTTTTTTTTTAAATACATTCATTTGTTGAAATCATTTATCTTCACTCTTTGCTTGAAATGCATCATAGACCCTTTGACTTTGACAGGATAACAAATTGATGCAACTCTCCGGTAGAACTTTCAGTCCAAACTTTAAATTGCTCAAGACAGGAAATGTTCTGTATTGTGAGAGTGGGAGTACATTAGCCTCCTCCCACGCTCTCACCCTGTGAATATATCGTCCCAGGACGTCTCCGTAGCCACCGTGTGCCTCCATCACCCCAGGAAATAAAAGTCATACTTGATTTACCTGACAAGGGCTCTTTGAGGTATCCTTGACCGTGACGGATCTGTCGCCACAGTGAGCCATAGCGCTGAAGTGTTTCTACCTGCCTGTAACACCCTGGCTCCACTCCTTTCCTCCTCCTCCTTTTTTTCATGAGATGTCTTTCCTGTTTGGGTGGTGTCTTGTTGTCTGGCTGTGGTTCAGCTTGGCTTGGCGTTCAATCTTATTAGAGGGCGGAAGGTGGTTCAGGAGGTGTACGGTCACACAGACAGACCCCAACAGTTTATTCCTTTCCCCACCACTCCACCAAGACACCAGCTTTTTCTTTTTCCATTCCCCCCCCCCACCTCCCAATGCATACATAAACACATTCTTCAAGCGTCACAAACAATACGAACTCCCGGCTAGCTCCCCACACGCAGCGTCGAGTTGATATTTCCTCAAGGTTAAGTGTGATCGCTGATTACTCGCGTGCTGAAGAATCGTTGTTGGCATGTTGCAGAAACACTTGTGACTTGCAGCAGATCAGTCATCTGTGATCCAATTCGAATCTATTACAGCAGAACCCGACGGCTCCTGGGCGATGTGACCTTGCCTGTGTGCCTTCTCTGGAGGCTCCTTTTCAAACCAAGTGCTGTTGACTTGCTGTTCATTTGATTTGTTGGTGGCATTTGCCGTGAATGTGAATGCGGACTGGAGCGCCGTGGCCGTTTTTGTCTATCAAGGTCATACCGGCCTGCAAGTCGCCCGCGCTGCAGCCGTTTATGCGAGGATAAGCGCATCAGCCGCGTCTTTCCAGCCGGAGTCATAAGCACATTAACTCCAGTCGAAGCTCAGCAGTATCAGCAATCAATGGATGAATAAAAAGAAACACAAGAGCTTGTTAAATAATGGGACAATGTCAGAAGGGTGGTAAGCTGCTATTACCGTTGGGGGAAGCCAGCGAGGCCAAAGGAACAGCGCCAAGACTCCTGACCTCTTCCTACTCTATTCATTTGGCCCTTTAACACCTGAGAGGGAATTTCATTTAAGACGTTATTATGTTGTTATCAGGTAATATGTTGTAAGTCTACCTGCAACAACATATTACCTGAATGAACACATTGGGATCTTAATTTGGCTCAAATCCACATAAACTGGATGCAGAAGGTGAAGCTAATAGCTAACACAAGAGGAGCTGAGATCAAAGTGGATTTCTATAGTCCCACAATAACTCCACTCTTGACAAACACACACAGGTGTTTTCAGATACACTACATGTGGAGCTGCAGTTGCCACCAGGTACATCTTGTATCTACTAGTGCCTTGTACTTTTCAGTGACGTTGTTGTTGGTGGTCACTTTGAAGAAACCACTTTCTCCCTTTCCGAAGTCTGTTATACTCCATTTCTGCATGTGTAGACGAAGACTTCTACGGTCTTATTCTGTATTCTCTTTATCCTTTCTCTCTTAGCACTCCATCATTATTTTCTTCTTCTTCTGGTATATTTATAATTTGGTTGTTTTTATTTTTACATTTTATTTAGGTCCTAGTCCCTGTTATGTTTTGCCTGGTCCTGTGGTTTTGTTTGTTTGTTTTAATTTGTTTTTATGTGGAATTATATTGTGTTTAGACTGTTTGTTTCTTTTCAGTCATTCCCTTTCAAAGTGGCTGTTTCCACTTTGTCCCACCTGTTTTATAAAGTCACTGAACTTACATAGCGCTTTTCCAATCGTTTTGACCACTCGAACCGATTTACACTAGAGTCACATTCACCTATTCTCACTCACAAAATAAATGTATCGGTGTATACATTTACATCACAGATCTGCTATGTCTGTATCGGTGTATCAAAAGGCAGTTTGGGGTTAAGTGCCTTCCCCAGGGTCACACCGACATGTGGGAGGAGGAATTGAACCTACAGCCTCCCGATCACAAGATGACTACTTTACCCACAGTCACATCCTAGTAGTCACTTTCCCTAATATGTATTCCTCCTCCCTAGATCAGTTGGTACTCTCTCCTACTCCAATTTTCTAAACTTTGTGTTTCCTGCCTTAGGATTTTGTGTCTGTAAATATTATCAAGTTCATCTTGTCTCCTGACTTCCTGCCTGGTTTCACTTGGGTCCTCAAATTAACACAGAAACCTACTCTCCGTGCCTCCTAATGTGTAAAATCCTCATTGGCTTCTTGACGAGTAACCCTTTAATACAAACGTGACAACAGTTTAAAGATTCATAAGATAGGCCTCACATCTGAGGTCCCTAAACTACGGCCCGCGGGCCTCCACATTTGGTCCGGCCCCCTGAACAATACCAGAGACCATTCAGATTTTTTTTTCCATTTATTGTATTTTCCGGTTTATATGTGGATTTTTCTTCAACCACCAGGGGGCTCTTTAGCAGGAAGTGTGTCCTGTAAATTGTGGGGCGCATTACTGCCATCTGCTTGACTTTTATGTTATTTAATCAGTACGGTTGTTTGCTAGCGGTAGAGCAGATGAACACACGTGTCTGTTATGAAGGCCGCATTGAATTCTTCGAAGCAAGTAGCAGTTTATACTTCAAAACGAGCCTTTATCTTAACATATTCAATTAATATGTTACAATTACTTTCCCTCAATGGAATATATACTAGTCAGTCCCAGTCACCGTTTCACTCATGGTTTTTGCCCATGTGCTTTNTTATATTACAGTCAGCAACTGTTACTATTTTACGATTTTTTGCCGTAAATTTATAGACTTATTTTACTGTGTTGACTGACGGTGATTCCATGTATTTTCTACGATAAAATGTTTTGTATATTACGGTCAGAAACTGTTGTATTTTACAATTTTTTACCGTGAAATTTACGGACTTTTTCTTACAGTGTTGGCTTGTTGTCTTTAGTGTCAATCTAAATCCAGAGAGATAACAAGAATAGAATCTACAACCAGTGGTAATCTCTCTCTACAGTCTGCGAACAAACTGTCCTCAAGGAAGACAATGCTGTCCCATACATAGAGGGGTTTATCAGCGCACCTCCACAGTTTGGGAATGAAGATTATTGGATGGCCTTGCCTGCAGTCTTGACAGGTGGGATCAGCTTAGGCATGTTGTTCATGCCAGAGCGAATAGCCCAGCCATGTATTTTCAGGTTTTTCATGTGTAGCTATTTCAGCCGTGATCCCTAAACTCAATCTTAGAAATGGTCACTCGACTACGTTTGTTACCAATGAATACTTACCACTACCAGCCTTTAAAAACTGTTACGGCCAGAGATAATTTTTCTATGTTTATTCTAAAGCATGGAATGACATTCCACAACATATAAAGTTGATTTCAACATTGGTACTTCTTAAGATGTCTCATGTGCATCATCTGTTGGACACTTTTTTTAAAAATCATTGTTAGACATCTGCTGTGTATTCTTCTGTTTTGTAAATTGGTATGTGTGTGTGTGTGTGTGTCTCTATTAATGTTATGCGATGTTGGATGTGTGCTTTATGTTCTGTAGAAGAACCTGCTGAAAAGCAGGATTTATGCTGCGCAAGGCCCAATTCCTTTTAATCTTTTCCTGTTACAAAATTATATAATAAATGAAATAAAGACTGACTTGCAACAAATATGAAATTCATAGTGTGAAACCAAATGCGACAAGACACCAGGTTCTTGTGGCTATGTGTAGTTATTCTATGCACTAATGAATCTCCTGTGTCACATAAAATTTTAAATTCCCAATAAGTCTCATATCTTCAAACTTCAGTCGAAAATACATAAACTCAATTACTGGCAAAATCATCTAATGCTCAGCTAAGGCAGGTTTCCAAACACTATGGTACTATAAAAAGGGAAATTAACCAGTTTTCTAACTACATTTGCAACATTTAAACAAACACAAATTTCCTAACTTTATTAACATTGGAGACAGTCTAAGCACCTTGTTTTTTAAAATTCTGTTTAAGAGGCAGTTTTGGTTATCAGCTCCAAGACTCCAATAAGCACTCCATAGAATAAACATGAGACAGCTGTTATGATGCATTTTGACGAATTACAAAATAAATGGGTGTGAATGAAAGAGATGCGAGTAAAAAAGTGACACCTCTAAGTGAAGACGTACTAAAAGCAAATGGGCTGAAGTACCTGGGGTCAATCATCCAAAGTAACATATGAAAGAGTGGAAGAAAAAGAAGAACAATACTGCAGTGTGGATGGAGGGAGGGTTTTTTTCCCCCAGTGAATTTTCACAAACACAGTGAAGGAGGCAGGTGAGCTGCTGTGGTGTCCATGAACAAAGCGACTTCTTTCAAGTCTGGTCTTACACTGAATTGCCATGAAAAATATTTGTCCTATAAGTAAACCTTTCAATTACTGGATAAGATAATCATGCCTGCACATCCTGTCCCTTTTGCACTGCACAGCTGGACCCAGGTCAACCCGGGTCGGTCGGGCTTTAATCGTTTTTGCATTAGCACTTCCAGCCCGGTACCACCCCACTCCCTGGAACCCCGAGAGCTGCGGTTCCAATCGGGCCGGTCAGACCAGGCCGGGTTGGAGTTAGCTGTTGGCTGCAGGGGCGGGACAAAGGCCAGATCTCTGGATCAGAGGAGTACTAGACTTTCTCGATGGCTGTCATTTCAATATGCTGCATCAATAAATTCCCGTCATAATCTATTCTTACCCTACACTGGGATTACAATCGCCTCTTCAGCCAAAGATTTTAATGGTAAATGTAAATAACATTTCTCCAATTGAACCGATCAGAAGTCGCCAAGGCTGTAAACGAGGGGATTTCCGCATCTGGCGTCGCTCCAGCCGGGAAATCCCACCTGCCGCAGCAGTAGTTCAGCTGGCTGCGAATCCAGCTCAGAGACGACATTCAGATGAGATTTTTTTTTTTCGTTAAATGTAAAGCTGAGGTAAATATATCCCTCAGCTTCCACAATCATGAGCGCATACAGAAAAAGAAGGACGGGAGACCCAAGACGAAATCTGTTCTGCAGTCTCTGGGGAGATTGCCTCGGATTTACGTGATGTATCCTGCTCAATGCAAAACGACCAGGGCCATAGCACCAATAGGTCCGTGTCGAAAGGAGCCGGTTTGAGCCAGGCCGGACCCTGCAGTGCTAAAAGGGCTTTATCTTTAATTAAATGAAACAGAAACATGTTTGAGTTAGCCTTTTTGATCAAACCTTCAAACAATTTAAGTATGTTTTCACTTCAGTATGCATCTTCATGTGGAGGACTTTTCACCTTTCACTTTGTGAGCTTAACAACATGTTTCAATATGTTGCAGTAAGGCAACAAAATTTCTACATCTTTTCAAACATATGCCAGAGGAACTCTGCTGGGGAAAGTGGCTCAGTCTTACTGTTAATGTATCTTTGTGGATTCAACAGTTTAAATGAGGTAAAACAGAGAAAGCTGATCCATTTGATGGCCTCTCTGAACTGTCACTCCAGTTGTTGCTTGGCAGAAGAGTTTGTGTTCTGTCCATTTAGCAGCAGAGAAAATTGAGTACGCAAACTTCCCAGGTTTATAATGACATCTCATACTCTGTGCATCAGAATGAGACTATTGAAAAGGACAGAAAAATCTATCTCAGACTTGACCTTGTAGCATAGGACAAGGTAAGTGGTCAGTCGAAGAACTATAAAGAAGATACCAAGGACAATGAAATCAATGTAGAGCTCAGCATCTTCCACATTTAACAGCTGTAGAACCTCTTCAGGCTGTTGGAACCTACACACCTTCCCAGGACACTCCAGCTCTGATCGGTTCATCCCATAGATAGACAGAAGCACCCCTTCAAAGCTGTATCTGTGGGAAGGAGACAGACATGAAGGATTTACACAACAAAAAATGTTTGCTGGTCTCATGACATGTAATGCTTTTTGTGCAGGAAGTGACCAAAAGAATGCACACATACCAAACAATTTGAATTAATCTCTGCTGTCTCTTTTCTCTGTCCTCTTGAGACAGAGGTCAGCGAAAAAAAAAAATCTGGAGGCAGCTGATCCCATGTGAGTTTGTTAAAAAGCAAGTAAATGAACATAACGTGTCACCAGATCACACCTGACGAGATCATACATGTTTTTTCCTTCTCATGATGCATTATTTGACTGATGCGACTTAATCCAGAAAATACAGAATATTCCCTTTCTAACCAGACAATTCCAAAGCTGAACAGACTTGAACAACAGAACCAGAAGTGAACTCTTTGACATGTTACTTCTTCAAAGAGCATAAATATAAAGATGACAGACACCGGACAAAGGAAGTGTAACGCTCTTTTTAAATGTGCAGGTCTGCTTGCAAGGTTTAGTGTTAACCACTTTGTAGAATCAGAAGTAGGTACGTCATGGAGTCATGATTGGGTGGATAATTGATGCAAATGATGCAAAGAGGTTTGTTTATATTGCTATTTATTGCAGTGTAAATAATAATAATAACAGCAACAACTAAACAAAAATAAATTGCTCAAAAGAAACGAGGGGAGGAAAACAAACAAACCAACAAAGAAGTAATGATAATAATAATCAGTGATACTTCAAAACCAAATAGAGTTTAGTTTGGTCTTCCTGTGTGAAAAGTGTCGTTTGGTCTTCCTGTGTGAAAAGTGTCGTTTGGTCTTTCGTTTTCCTACCACCAGGTGATGTGTGGGTAGCTCGCCATCCTCCGTCATCAAGCAAGTCGATGACGGAGGAGGAAAAAAACCTGACCTAAAAGGTCAGAAAACATACATTAAGTTCATATATAAATGTTATATTTATATAAGCTAAATGGAAAAAAACAACCAATCAAATACATACTGCTATGTATCAAATTCATAAAAATGGGAAAGAAAATTTAAAAAAAAATCCTTTTAAAAAGTGCACTTCATAATTCAAGTTCAAAATTTCTCAAATAAAGTAATTAGTCGCTACAAACAACAACTAATAATAAATCAAATCAATCAACTTAAGAAAGTGATTGATCAAAGTAGCTACAAACAAAATCATATTAGGTACCAGACTTCATAGATACACCAGCATGGAATCCAACAATAACCAAAGAAATCATGAAAAATAATCAAATCTAAAGTTGAAGGGGAAGCCTTTAAATATTAAAGGTGTGGTCTTTAATTCGGCTTTAACAGTGTGACTTTTTATTAAGTAAGTAATTAGTAAGTGGACTGAACTGATGCGGGCAACTGATTGTCGAGTTGGTAGCTAATGCCAACTGGCGGCGCGTTGCGGAAATAACGCCCCATTATATATAAATGATATTTACTCACCGTCGAGTAACGGATTGTCTGAGGAGGTGGATGCAATGTTAACTTGTATACCAGGCGTCAACGAATCCCAACCTGGTGAGGATTGCAGCGGCTACATTAGCGGCGCTATTATTGCAGATACAAGGTCAAGTTCAGATGGTATTCAACAACTCACCGCAGATCCTCGAGTTTTAGGGATGAAATTGTTCAGTGATGAGTCGATTTGGAGATTTCAGATTGTTTTATGAACAACCAACGCCATAACCAACAGTGAGCAGCAGCACAGTGGAAAACCCGGAAATACACATGAGGACCCCAGAAGTTAAAGGGACGGCTTAAAGGGAAGGTGGGTGGGTCATGGCGGTCACGTGGGTTACAGAAGATTGCCATATCTTTTCCCCATATAAGCAAAGTAAGTTTCTACCAGTTTAGAAACACATCCTCCAGACTTGTAACAAAGAATTAATGCAACATAGTTTAGCATTAGCGCGAAAGAAAGAGTCTTGAACTTTAGTTCAACATCTTTTGCTGTGATTCAGTTTCATTTTATCTTAAGGTCTTGCAATTGCTGGGTTTCAGTCACGTGATTCAGATGGAGGACCGAAAGTGGATTTCTCCGTTCAAAACAAAACAAAATTGATCACGAATAAACTAATGCCCTAAATAGGCTGGAACAAACAAGGCATCTCGAAAAAATACGCGTATATTTAGGATATGATTCGTATTATCTTGGTAAAAAAAAATACTTTTCTTATAATATTGAGGATTTACCCGCATCGAGGCGATCAACATAACTACCTGGAACTGCAGACCTCATATTATACTTCGAACCAAAAGAAAGTTTTCAAAAGCCTGGAGAATACTATCATTTAGTTTCAAGTTGGGTCAAGCATTTAGGATCAAAAGAAGCATTTAATGACTGTCGACTTGTTTCTGTCGGGTGAGTAGTGAATTGTGCCATTTCAAGTAATTAGTCTATGATAACGATGCTATCGCTAATAACAAAAGAACTAATGTTATTTCTATTAGCTTTGATCTGCCGACAAATAATTTATTTAGCTTGTGTAAACCCAAATTCACGCTGGAGTTGTATGTTAATGTTGAGTCGTTGTAGGACACTGGATTCACGTCCAATGTTGTCCAACGATTTGCTCCGATCTACAGAAACCCCCATGTCCGTGTCTGGACAAGAATATACTAAGTGGCCAGATACGAAGCATGTGGGGGAATAGTCACAGCTCACTGTGACTGTATGGGTGGGTAGATTATATTTAATTTATTTAGCTTTTTCTTCTAGCATGAAAGTCCCACTAAATAAAATATTAGCTTTTCTGTGATTCGGCACTGAGCTACCTGCTAACATTAGCACTATGAGGACAACCTGTTCAATAAAACATCTGAAAATACAATTTAAATGACGCCATTGTTATCTGTGGCCATGCAAACGGGCAGTTAGTTTCTGCACCTCCTGTTTTTAGCTATAGATTCTCGATCCACTCTTTTTTCGGTAAGTGTTTTTTAAAATTAACTCTTGTGACCAACTGCCTTTGAAACTAGAGGTGTGCAGATCGATCGGCCACCGATCATAATCGGCCGATTTCCGTGAAAAAGTGTATGATCGGTGATCGCCGATCGCGGTCTCTTGTTGCCGATCACACAAACTGATCACCTGCGTCTCATTTCGCAGCCTGCCTGTGCAGCTGGTCTCCTCTTTCCTTCACACTGCGCAAACGCGCAGCAACAAATCCTAAGCGATGTCGTGTGGAACTACAACGTACTGAGTGAATGGGGAAGTTTGCGTGTTGTGGTGGAAAATTACCTCGGTGTCGGGGCTGAAGCACGTAAAAATGCATCAACACGACGAATCTAATATGGCATAAAAACAATGCCATACTTGACGGAGTTTGGCTATATCGAGGCTCACCCCAGGTGAAAAAAGTATACTTTAAGTATATTTCAGATATACTTACATTTGTGAAAGTACATTTTAAGTCAACTAAGTATTAAGTGTACAACCTAAAATATATCTGAGGCATACTAAAAGTATATTTGTACCAATTTCGAAATTAGAACTTTAAACACCCTTAAACATAATTGTGCTGCCTTTTGTTTAGTTAAGCTGGACCAGCAAGGTTTTGAAAACCGCACTAGAGCACCCCCTGGTGGATGTTTTTGTTATGTTGCTTTTGTGATGCTTAAAGAAAAAAATAGATCGAAGTTGGTGGAACGCAACACCAAACAGCTCGTGGAGTAGCTGATTATTGTCTTTATTTGTTGTGTTTCAGACAAGATTTGTTCGTAAGTATTTGTTTATTGTGAAAATAATAACTGTCTCTTTGTTTTATGTAACGCTGGTGTAAGTAATTTGTATGCTGAAGTCATTTAGGAAAATGTTTATTGTTTTTTAGCTCGCAGTAAGAATGGCTATTTTGCTATGTTAGCTTATATTAAGCCTTGTATGTTGCAGTTTACGATGGCCAAAGTGATGGTAGTGGTCAGAGGCCACTCTTCAATAAACAACTAAAAAAGAAAGAAGTTTGGTT